AGAGCACAGACTTGTGTCTATCTGCGTGTATCGAACCCATCAGCAGAGGCTGTTCTGTAAACAAAAAGATACAGAGAATGAGGACAAAGGATGAGAAAGAAAATGAGTTTGAGTAGAAACAGGGAGAGAAACAGCTTATTCGGGAAGATGGCACGTAGCATTGCTAACCCTAACATGAAATCCATTTGAACCTGTTTTGTAACTGTTGAACAGATATTTAAAGGAGGAAGTGAAGTAAACAAAATTTTAGGAGGAAATTTTCATCCTTTGTTTGATCTGTCATTCAGGGTTGAAGCTTCCATGCATACATGCACGTACATCTCAGGTGGAATTAGATTCTGTTTACCCTAACATGACTCCCGCAATAAAGTAATTTCTATTCTTTACTCATTTTTTAGATAGGACTAGCTTTTCCCTATATCTTATGCATTCATTTGACTCTTGGATTGAGTGGTCCAATGACTTGGTTTGGGTTTTTTTTAAGAAACCTGATTTCTTGCTAAGTTTCTTAGGGAAACTGCTTTTCCTTCTTCCTCAGAGCTTGCCTATGTAGTTAAGGAAAAATGTCTTGAATATCAACTGATACAGCTGACAAAAAAGTGCTCAAACTTTCAGGCAGAAAAATCTCCTTTATAGATATGTGCTCAGAAGATATTTCAGTGTAACTTTCTAGTTCTTATGTAGAAAATGAATTTTCAAAACATAGAAAGAAGCTGTTATACTGTGTCACTGTCACTTGTGTAGTGCAAGCTTTTTATATAGAATAAATGTGATAAAATATCAAAATAGTTAAACAATTTCTTACCTTATATCTGTAATTTTAAGAAGTGCTAGTAGAAATAATACAGTGCTTTTAGTTGGGATTTTTGGTCCATGTACTAGGAAGAACCCCAAAAACATAAAAGGCAGTCTTACAAAATGTTCCATTACTGGCAGCTCAATCCATAAATAAGCCAATTTTGGAATAAATCCAAAACAAGAGCATAAGGGGAAAGGTATTGTTGGATGCTGTAGTGAAATGGGATGGGGTTTTTCACCTTGGGAATTACTTGCTGAAAATAGCGGATGTCCTACCATTAAGCTAAAACATAACATGTTTAAATATCCTTCTACCTGCACATGGAAATACCTTATTTCAAGGTCTTGGGTCATTGAAATGTCATACTGTAGCTACTTCTGGAAGAAGGACTTAAAAAAATAATCATCAAATATTAATATTTTTTACAAAGTAATTGTGACCAGGATTTGTTACCAGTCTTTTTGTAATGGCAACCTTAAATGAGATTTTGTAAGACTTACTTGTAAATAGTGGGAGCTAGATTCCCTAATTGTGAAAAGGTGACAGTAAATGGCAAACCAGACTGCTTGCAACATTCACATGGTGGTGTTAAACAAAAGGAAGAAGCAGAAGACATGTCAGCTAGAGTGGGATGACAGGAGGAGGCAAAAATGTGTATACATATAAATATACCCATATAAAAAAATACATAATGATAAATGAACAGAGGAGCCAAACACTTATAATGGAAAGGGACAAAACTTCTCTCTGTGTGGAGGAGTAGTAAGGTGGAGTGAACTGAAGTGGGAGAAAACTGTTTACCAAAAAGTTTAAGAGCTGATTTGGTCTCTCTGAGAGCTGTGGGAAATGCCAAATTGATTCTTCATATGTGATAATCTTCTCCACAGATAGCAGAGAGAGATTCTCACAGATACTGGCATATTGAGTGCTGCTGTATCTGGTACCTTACAGGTTATCCACAGAAAAAGCCAAAATTTCGTAATGGGTTACTGGTTGTGTTACATCAGAGGGCAAGTCAGGGAAAGAGTGAGTGATGAAATCTACCTCTCTACAGCTTCTGAAGTTATTCATCTTAGAAGATCCTGAGTAGCTTTTATCTAGTATTCTTCTATTGCTTGTGCCCAGAATGCTTTACCTGAATTCAGTTGATTAAATTCTGGTATTTAATTGGCCTTGCAACTCCCTGTTTGTATTCTGGTTTGTGAACAGCAGTGCTGAGTGTGATTTTGGTTGCTGCATATTTATTCTGTTTTTCCCACTGCTGCTGTAGAGAAGCATAAAGGATCCAGGCTAAATTGCCATTCTGAGTTACTTCCACTCAAAAACATATTTAAAAGGAAAAAAAAATGCAGACCACTTATCGTGCTTTTGTGATTGTAATATGGAAAGCCTTCTACCCCTTGAGGTTAACTCTAGTTTTTCAGGGTATTTCCACCCTCATCTGTTATTCAAATCTATGTTCTCTTCTTTTTGATTTAGACTTTTTCTTTGATCCAGGTGAAGTCTAAATTTGCTTCTTCCTGCATATCTCCATAGGCTGAGGTCTTGGCCCTGTAAGGGTCAGTTGAGGATATTAAAATTATTCTAATGGAACCAGGATTCTACTTCTGGTACCATGGGTATGTCCTCATTTTCTCACTATATGCACTGACAAAACTATTGTCTAATCCTGGCGCTCTTGCAGCATGATACCTCTTTGCTTCTCTTGAAGTGAAATCAGCCCCTTAAAATGGCTCAGAACAGCTCTGCTAGAACCATCTCTGGCATGTTACAGTTCATTCCTTTAATGTCGTCCTTTGGAGCTTTCTGTGTCCATGGGTCAGATATACACATGCATTGACTTTGTCTTCAAAACTTTTTATAGCTTAGTACTGCCGTGGTTATTTGTTCCAGCTTTGTTTCTGCTTTTTTTTCCACCAACAGTGCCAACTTAAGCTTTCTGCTTATGAACTTTTCTCACATGCTTTCCCCAAATCTACTCTCTGCACATAAGGAAAAACTGACAACTTGTGAAATCTCCTTGTCTGAATATTCAAACTTTTTTTTTTTATATCTCACCTTTGCTGTAATGCATACAGAAAATCACCATCTGCTAAGTAGGTGGCAAGAGGTAATTGTGGCAGGTAGCTGCAGGTGGCATACAAATCTGGTACAAACTACATTTGTTATCCCATCTTTTATTTCCTCGCAACATACCAAGTCCTTTTGTACCCCTGCATGCCTTGATTTTAAAGTGTAAGTTATTTGGACAGAGCAGTTATTCAGTATATTAATAGAATCACAGAAGAGGTAGGGTTCAAAGGGACCTCTAAAAATCAGCTAGTCCAACCCCCAGGCCAAAGCAGGATTACCTGTCAGTCCTCTTATTGGACATCACAATCCTGTCTGGTTGATTTGGTTTGGTTTTTTTTTTTGGTCTGGAGTGGTTTATAACAACAGGTGAATTAAGCATGAATTTCACCAAAGCTGCATATTTTAAGGAGCCTTTTCACTGATTCACACAAAATAGAGAAGTGGGAAATTAATTGCTGTTGCTAATAAGGTGAAACAAGGGAAACTTTTTTATTCTTTTTGCTTTTGATTTACCTGCAGTCTTTTTCTTTGTCATATCTCTTTATGAACTCATGAAAGTGTAATCCACGCTCTCCATAATACAAATGCTGTATTTTAAAAGCTCCATTATCATAGAATGGTTTGGGTTGGAAGGGACCTTTAAATGTTATCTAGTCCAAACCTCCTGCAATGAGCAGGAACATCTTAAACCAGGTCAACTTGCTCAGAACCCCCTCCAGCCTGACCTTGAATGTTTCCAGGGATGAGGCATTGACCACCTCTCTAAGGCAACCTGTTCCAGTGCTTCACCACCCTCATCGTAAAAAATGTCTTGCTTTTATCTAGTGTAAATCTACTCTCTTTTAGTTTAGAACCATCACCCCTTGTCCTATCACAATAGGCCCTGCTAAAAAGTCTGTCCCCATCTTTCTTATAAGCCCCCTTTAGTTACTGGAAGGCCTCAGTCAGGTCTCCTGGAGCCTTTGCTTCTCCAGGCTGAATAACCCTCAGCGTTTCCCCATAGAAGTGCTGCAGCCCTCTGATCACCTTGGTGGTCCTCTTCTACACCTGCTCCAACAGATCCAAGTCTTTCTTATGCTGGGGACCCCAGAGCTGGATGCAGCACTCCAGGTGGTGTCCAGAGTAGAGTAGAGGGACAGAATCACCTCCCTTGACCTGCTGGCCATGGTGCTTTTGATGCAGCCCCAGAACACAGCTGGCCTTCTGGGCTGCCTGCACATTACTGGCTCATGTCGAGCCTCTCATCCACCAGCACTCACACGTCCTTCTTGTCAGGACTGCTCTTCATCTCTTCATCCCACAGCCTTGATTGACATGGGGGGTTGTCCTGACCCAGGTGCAGCACCTTGCACTGGGTCTTGTTAAACCTCATGGGATTCCCATGGGCCCGCTTCTCGAGGTTGTCCAGGTCCCTCTGGGTGGCATCCCATCCTCAAATGTGTCAACCACACTACTCAGCTTGGTGTCACCTGCAAATTGCAGAGGGTGCACTTGATCCCACTGTCTATGTCATGGATGCAGATATTAAACAGTATTGGTCCGAGTATGAACCCCTGGGGTACACTATGGGGAGCTGCTGTTCAGTATGTTTCTGAGAGTACCATGATTCTTTACACTGAAATTACAGAAAGTTCTGAATGAAAAATGCAGTTGGAGTATAAGCTTGAACATGTTTATCTGCTATGTGCTTGGTCTGACTTCCATACTTCAGAAGTGTTCTGTGTTAGATTATGCTTCAACGTTATTTCTGGATTATGTTAGTTTTCACTTTTTGCTAATAACCTTCAAATAGTCTCATTTGAAAGACTTCTTAAAAAATAAATAATCATGAGGGTAGATCATTGCTAAAAGTTTGAATCATTAGCTTAATTCTGCTGGTTTTGCAGGACTTCAAGAATATGTCGAGGCAGTCTCATTTCAGTATTTTATCAAAACACGATCTTTGATTAGTGTTGAAGAGATCAACAAACAACTAATATTTACAGCAGAAGACAGAGAAGAAACAACAAACACGGTAAAAGTTTTTCTTTTCTCAAGTGACAAACATCTTTCTGGGATGGAAATGCAATGAGAAGGCTTAGTCACATTTTTGGCATCTGATTAAATAAGGCCAGTAAGTGGAATGGGATTAGATATACATGTGGGCTTTGACTCACTTGTTCAAAATGCTTTTTATTCTGATAAAGTAGTAAACTAAATCCGTGGGATACAAGTTTATAAATTTCACATCCTTTTTATTCAGAGCAAACTGAACTCTTTTCTTGTAGGGCAAAAGATCCAGGACAGGGAAATACTAGCAAACAATGTAGAAGAGGGATTTTTACTGCCTGGGACAGCCTGTAAGACCTGCTGGTGTATAGTGATGTTGCAGAAGTTGGGGGAGGTAAACAAAGCCAGGGCAGGATGAACTCCCCTGAATGAAATCTTACTGCTGGTACTGAACTAGTCACAGGAGACACTGTATTCAACTTCTATTAAAATGCGCTGCATACGTCTTTGCTTGGTCCTTTGTAACTTTCCTGGAGTTGATTACTCTCAGAGGACAAGCTGGTGTCCCGTCATACCTTAGCCCTAATACCTATCTGTTGTTTATTGACTTGCCTGTACTCCTACCCTGCCCTAAATGGGTCATAGGGACAAACTTCTGTCACCAACCACAGTAAACTGGGTGCAGTTTGATTGTTGGCAGGGGAAAACGGGTGATTTGGTAGCAATCTACAGAAGCGCACATGCAGTTGATGTGCAGTGTCCTGTAATGCTGCTTTAGAAGAATTCCTGAGTCTGTTTCTGTTGAAGAGAGTCTGCTCCAAAGCACTTCTTATTCCTTCTTTATTCTCTTGGTAAGATATTTGCAAAGAAACCAGATTTGTAGCTTAAATTAATTTGTTTTTACCGGAGGCATGCCCACTGTGGCACACTTAATTTTAACAAACTGTGAAGTTGTTAACCACAGCATCCACACCTCTGACCAGATCTGAATTTGGGTAGATAGTGTGTTATGGAAACAAGTGAACAGAAAGAAACCTTCATTGTCTCCATGTTACCAATATTTTGGCAATAAAAAGTATTGGAAACTTGGATAAAGGAGCAAACTTGTAACTTTGTGATGAGTTTTCTTCATGAAGGTTTTTTTTTTAGCTATTTTAATGAGTTCAGTTGATAGAAAACATCTGAGAATACTATAGCTATCATCTTCTTTTAGAAAATATATTTTGAAACTCAAGATACTATTACAAAATTATATGATTCTTTTTCATAATGCAGACTCTTTTTGATTGCTTTGGTAGCTTTGGACAGACCATTTAGGAAAAAAAATCTTATCAGGCTGAGATCTGTCAGATGAAAAAAAACCCCAATCGACTGCAAATAAATGTTGCTATGAAGATGTGATAATTGTGTTTGCAAATAGAGATGGTAGAAGTAAGGTATGTTTATCATGCTTGCTAGAATTAAAATCACATCTCAAGTTAAAATTGATGCTTTCTTACCTTCTTGTCTGCTGGAAATCAGAGCATGTGGAAGTGCCATGCAATTTAATTTTCCAAAATGTTTCTAATTTTCAGTTATGTTAGATAAGTTAGTGTGTATTTGAACCATTACAGGCTGCTTTTTCATAGTTCTCTGTACTGGACTTTGTTTTGTTCTGTCCCCAGACCTCCAATTCCCATGACAAACAACCACATACCTGGAGCCTGAAGGTAACGCCTGTCGATTACCTGCTGGGAGTGGCAGATCTGACTGGAGAGCTGATGCGTCTGTGCATCAGCAGTGTTGGGAACGGTGACATAGACACGCCTTTTGAACTGAGCCAGTTCTTGCGTCAGATCTATGATGGTTTTACTTTCATTGGCAACACTGGGCCTTACGAAGTATCTAAGAAGCTGTATACCTTGAAACAGAGTCTGGCAAAAGTAGAGAATGCCTGCTACACATTAAAAGTACGGGGATCTGAAATCCCAAAGCACATGCTGGCTGATGTGTTCTCCACCAAAACAGAATTGATTGACCAAGATGAGGGTCTTCCTTAAAATAAGGACAACTCAGAAGGGAAGAGGATTTAGAAAACGCTTTTTAGTTCTGGTTTGTGGGGTTTTGACCCTTCTCAAAGCTTTTTAGGTAGAGACATTTTTAGTTTAATCTATGAAAAGACTTTTTGCAGTAGTAATTTGTAACCAAAAATACTTTTTATGATGTGCAAGAGAACAAATGTCTGACTTTGGCCTCTTGGTATGGAATTTCCTGTATTGCTCCATTGTATCTTCTTTCAGAATGACCAAAATTTCCACTGCACTTCACTCCAGTGACTGTCAGTTGCGTGAGTCACGTCAAACTGTTGCTGTTGTTATAAGTTTTCAGCAAGCACAGCAGTGGAAAAAAAATGGTTAGGTACTCTTATTTAGCATTATCCATAAGTTTCTGCTGACTCATTTTCTAAGTATTTGTGTTCTGTAGCCGTGTCATACCTAGAACAATGCACCTGTGTGTAAGTTCCTCCCTTGACTTTAAACTGAGGTGGTCTCAACAGTGCCATGTAACTTAAGTTTTCTCTAATTATTGCTTTAAAGTATGAAACTGAGGCTAAGTCAACTTTTTGCTTATTGGTAATGAAGATAATTGCACCAGATAAATACTACTATGCACTGGTTATTTTGGGGCTCTGTTTAAACTGAGCTCTGTTTGAGTTAACACTGGTACTTCACAATTTTGACATGAGCTAGAAGATCCACAAAAAAAAAAGTGGAATGTATTGTTTTACATTTTTTGTAGTATAGTTTAATGCAGAATCTGACATATTTCTGTTTGTAGACGAAAGAAGTTGTCGTACAAATTGTGTAATTTGGTGTTACGACAAGCTGGTTTTGGCCAGAACGAATGCGATGCTGTGTTGGAAGTCTGTTCTCCATTGTTTGTGCTGCCCTGAGGACCTCCAGTGGGGTTGAACTGGTATAAGTGAAAAGCTTTAAATATATGTTAGCAGGAACTATATCATGTGCGTGTTCCTATGGAAAGGAAATTGCAAACAGAAGTAAGGCAGACATTCTGGCTTCCACATTTATCTTTGAGGTGGGTATGTCACTGTTGGCAAAAAATCAGGGCTTTATGCTGCTGTCTGAAGTTATGAAAGTCTGATAATGTACATTATGCTAAAGGAAAACAGATAAAACAACATGATCTTTAGACTCCAGGAAATAGGCCTCCCAACTGCAATTGAAAATACTGCATGGTTTTTATTTCCACTTCCATATGCTGTGATACTGCCAATATTTTTTCCCATGAGCATGTCCTGAATAGCTGATATATGGTTAGGAAGGGGTAAATACATTTCTGTCACATTTTTCCATTGTTTCCATGTAAAGCAATATGTGATGGGTTGAACAAGGAGTGGCTTTTTTCCTATTGCTTAATACTATTTTTTACAATAAATTCTGAAAAGTAGTCACTGCCTCTATGTTAGTCCTTTTGCCTGTCTGTCCAAGTGGTAAATTACAGTGTGAGTTTCCTGCTGTGCAGGACTTGACTTGGAAGTCTCACTCCACTTCTATATTCATACTTCAGTGGATACTTTCTAATCCTGAATCTCTTTATTCTTTCTCCCTTAACTTTATTCTGTGAAGTCTAAAAACTAGTTAGAATAGAAACTTCATGTGATCCTCTTGAATTAAAAAAAATCAAAGCAAAGGATTCAGATGACAAAACAAGTATATCCCTGGAACAAACTTGCAACAGTACCCACATTTTTACATTTGTCCTTGTTTTCTCTCTGTTTCTTTTTCCCTCTGATGGGAGGAGAGGAAGGAAAGGAGAAGGATACTTGCTAGTAGGAATAGGAATAGTTTTGGAGTGTCCCCTCCCCTGAAATGTATACATCTAGTTCAGCTGATGCAGCTAAGAGTATAGTTCTGTGTCTTTTGGCACAGCTAAATTTATTGCAAGTAATTGCTTGTTGAGTGTAAGTGTGTCAAGCGAAACCAGATATTATTAGAGGTATCATGGGATATTAAACAGAGGTCTGTCTCTTGTCTGTCCTAGCAGCTATCAGGTGGAATTAAAAAATCTTCATGAAAAGGGATGAGATGAATTCCAGCACATAGCTGTACTTGGCTTAGTGACATTCTGCCTCTAGCCATGGAATAAGCATACAGTGGCCACCACTTTAGTCAGCTCCTGCTTTTGTACAGTCATTCATTATTTTAAAACTACAGATGCCTAAAAAGAGTACATTTTTTCCCTAGCAATCCTTAAAAGTAGATGCTCTTTCAAAAAATACACACTGGTTCTAATGATTTTGAGATTTAAATTTGCAATAGGGCAAGAGAAATCTTTTTAATGACAGACATGATTTCTAAACTTCAGGCTACCTGCCCATAATCAAAAGCTGTGAATAATTTCTAATAGGGAGCAAAGTGTATGTGCAGTGTATTAAAACACCAGCACAGATGGGAAGTAGCTAATGGCCTGCAAACCTCCTTCTCAAGGAAATATTTTCCCCCAAAAACAATTGCACTGTAGCTATTTGAAAAGTGACAGACATTTATCAGCAAAACAAGCTGCTAAACAAGCAATGGCAGTTTTCCCATTTCTTATCCCATTACTCTATGGAGCTATTGATACGTTTGGTCTACAGCCAGAACAGGACTACGTCATAGCAGATGTTTCACGAGGGCAGCTCTGCGTGCTAAAAATCATCTGCCTTTCTGGAATCTAATTTCTCAGAAATGATTTTTCTTTATGGGTTCACTTTTTTTTCCTGACTGTTAAGTTGCAGTGAGTAAAATAAACCCACCCGCATTTAGCTTTCCAGAGAAGTTATGCAAGAGAAATTTCCTGTTGACAAGACATGTATGTCTGCCTACTTAAAGTCCTGCTTACTTGGATTTTCAGTGAGTTTACTGAAAATCAAAATTAAAAAAAAAAAAGGAAAAAGAAAAAAGAAAAAGGATCTTTTATAATATTTAGCATATTAGGTGCCTTATGGAATCCAGACCGGATTCTGGCACTGCCCTCAAAGAGTTTGCAGTTTAGGAGTAGGGAAAAAGGTAGCCAAGACAAACAAAAGGAAGATGGTAGAAAGTGGGGGAGATAAAGTCACAGGATTTTTACAAGAAGGTGATGTGTAGTAGGTTGGTTACCGCTTCCCGTTTTGGAAAAGAAACTTGTCAAAACTTCAGAAAGTCTGGAGTGTGACAGTAAAGGGTTAGTTGGGAAGGGTGAAGGCCAGTGGAGAGGCAAAATGGAAGGAAGTGAGGTAGAGACAAAGAGGGGAAGAGTGGCAAGGAGTGGGACAGCATGGAGGAAGAGCAGGCTGAGCCACAGGACAGCGGGTGCACATGCAATTAGGGTGGGACTGGGGAGGACGTGGGACAGGAAGACAGCCCTGCAAGAAGTTGGAACAACACTTTGAAACCAGGTGACTCAGCTATAAAAGAGACTTGGAGTTGACCGTAGGAACTGAATTTAAAATTACCACAAGGTCCCCAAAGCATTGATCTAGCCTTGGGCCGTAAATAAGGGGAACTTGATTTCCTGAGCAGCTGAGAACCTGCAGGTCCTGGACTGAGCAGGTTTTGCAGGCTTCCAGTCATGCTGTCACAAATCAACAAGCTCTCAGTTCCCATACGACCCTACTTCCCGTCCACATTCCCTTCACTCCCATATTGGTAGCCACAAAGCTTGATGTGTGAATTACTATCATCCACAGTTGTTAGAAACGTGTTAGATACAGTTTTTAACATAAAGGAATGCTTACGGTGACCACAGTTTTCCCCTTGTGTGCTGTTTACGGGTCCGTTTCGCTGTCATTGCTGCTTCAACCCCCTCTCTGTTTCTTCCCTTTCTTTACTTATCCTCTCTTAGGCTGTACTGTTCTTTTGAGCCATTGCCCGTGTCCATCCCATGGTTCAGTCCTTTCCGTGTTTAGCTGGAATCCTGGGGTAAAACATTTCCGTGCAGGAAGAGGAATCGGCCGATTTCTTAGGTAGGTTTGTCTACTTGCACCTTCAAATTTGGACATAGTGCTCTGGCTCTGAGGGGAGAGGTCTGGTATTCCTGCATTTGGATAAGGCCTGGTGCGTATGTCCTACAGAAGCCATGGTGCCGTGTGTCATGGATGGGTGGGCAGACCTCATGTTGCTTTTGCAGGTGAGCAAACCGTAGTTATTCTGAGGTTTGCAATCATCACGAGCCAAGGAAAATTACCTACAAACATGAAAGAAGTTTCTTCTCCAACTCTGAGGAAGGTTGTCTTTGAGGAGTTTGATTTCCCACCAACTCTACCTCTTTTTACCTCACCCATCGTCCCTTTGAAAGGCCTATTTGCAGAATGTAGAAGAAGAGACTTGCTGATGACTTCTTCTGGAGCCAGTCGGTGCCTCCCTGAACACTGGCCAAAAGTGATGTGATAATTCCTTTCTCAACTCCTCCCACAGGCTGGACAGGCTGGCTCTGGTGTCCCTTTGGCCACCCGGGGGGGGCTGAACTCTGAGCCTCCACTATTGGATTTTGCAGACCAGTGACATGTGGCTTCATTCTCTTTTTGTTTTTTTTTTTCTTTTCCCTAGTGGTGTTTTCATGTCATGCAGATGTTCATTCCTCCCCAAGAAAGGCGCTGCTGTGTGTGCTCTGCTTCTCCACTGCCACAACACAGGTCAGATGACTTCTTGAGCTCATCATAAACTGTTTCTTGGCTATTGGTGCAGTGCAGGTTTTGTGGGACATCATCTAGGTTTGGGCACTTCTCCTGCAGCCCTAAGCTTTCCTGCATGCTTGCAAGTCCCTTTTAATGTGGAAGGGTCCTACTAGTTCCATTTAATTCTTCCTCAAGGTCCTCTCCTCGGATGGCCCCAACAAGAGAAGTTGAAAAAACTGATCTGGAAATAGTGCTGATTTTTGTTAAAATGAGCTTTTTTATGCTTGGGGCAGGAACCAGAGGGGCAAAGGATGTGCTTGAACAGTCCATCCTGGGAGTTCGGATGTCACAGAAACATTGTTAAGTGCCAGGAGTCTTGTTTTAGGGGGAAACAAGGGTTGTTTCTCTCCTTGCAGCAAGTACTGTTCAAAGGTATGTTTTGCTTTGCACCCCACACCTAGAAGGAAAGGTGACAGGCAGCAGATGCCAGGGCTGCAAGGGAAGATGAGTAAGTTGTGTCAGGCCATACAGCAAATCAGTCAGGAGCCTGGAACTTGATGCGGCTCTTTAACCTCCAGCCCAGCTCTCACGGCTGTGAGCCTCAGCTCTTTCTGCTCCCAGAGTCAGCCAAGGCCGAAAGCTGCACCACCAAAATGCTGAGGTCTGTGACCTGCCACATGTGTGCATTTACATGTGCCCAGTGAGCAGGAGATGGCGTCAGAAACACAGATGCAGAACCTCCTTCATAAAGTTCTGATGCCTGCTATTTTATATTTAGGAATGATTTTATTTATATTTTATGTATTTTTGCTGGCAGGGCACAAAGAAGAGGGCAAGGTGTGGGCAGGACATATGCTGACACCCGTTTTCTTTGCCTCCTTCCCAAGCGTTTTTTCCAGCCTTTTCAGCTAAGCCTCTGCCTGTGGTGGCACACCGTTGATGGGCTGCTGGAGAAATGCTGCTTTACAGGAGCAAAGCGATACTTAGCAAATAATGAAGATCCTTATCTCTTAATTAGAGCTACCTGTGGTGAGCTACAAACCCACAACTACACCGAGGTTCCTAAATCACTTGGGCTCATTTGAGATCCTTACCTCACTATAAAAAATTTTATCATCTCTTAAATGGGGTAGGGCTTACCTGGGTCCTACCTTAAAAATATGCTCTGTGGGGAAAGGGAGGCCATGGGCATTTGTGGCAAGAGGCCTGGGTTTGTGACTAGATGGTAATGCCTGTTGTAAAGAAAATAGAAGGTTTCAACCCAACCTTAACAGGGCACGTGCTCTTCTGGGACTGATCAAGAAACATAGGGACACTATAAACTTCCAATTTATTTGAGATATATGCTATAACTTCTCTGGACCTGCCTTCCTACTGAAAGGGTGTTTGTTCATTATTAGAGAATGTATAATATTTCTGCCACCTAGTGTCCAGCTCATGGAATGCTCAAGCTTTTGGTTTTGAGTTACAAGTTATTTGTTGTTTTCTCTTTAAGTTCTTCTAAACACGATTAGTGGTGCGGTATAAACTTCACTTATAGACTTAGGTAGGCCTCTGATAGTAATAATTTATACTTGGCATGTTCTATTACTTGGAAATCTGGGGAATACCAGGGAATAGCACATGTTTATTTTATATCTCATCATATTTGTATATGGTGTTTTGAAGACAAATAAATAAAAAGCCAGGAGAAACTTTGACTAGACATGTTTTTGCAGATTTGTGAATTACATAAATGTTCTTATTTGAACTAGTATTTTTAAGGAGTACCAGTGCTAATAAGTAGACCAGAGTCCTAAATTCCTGAATT